AAAATGGTTAATTGCCATGGTTATGGCCTTTGGAAGATCAGTATTCAAATCTCAGCTCTGCCACTTACAAATTGTACAAACTCTGGCAACTCTTGGGGTCTTAGTTTCCTTGTATGGAGACTGAAATTGGAACTACTGTGTTGACAGAGTTATTGTTAAGGACCAAGGAGATGAGGGATACCCAGATAGGGACAGACACAGAGTCAGTCCCCCTTCCCTGGTCACAGTCATTCTGCTTTGATAGCCTCCTCCTGTTGTACCTGACTGCTGTCACTTGGAGCTTTGGAACTTTCCGTCAGCTATGGAAAATTGGCCGGCATTTATTGAGTGCTTACTATGAGACAGATACTGCATTAAGAATTTCACTTGACTTATCTAACTCCACTCCAGATAGTGGGAAAATTATTACTCTTATACTATGGATTCAGAAACTGAGTCTGAAAATCTAAGGGATGTGCCAAGGTGATAAGCTTAATAAATGATGTTACCTGGGTATTTCTGACTCCCGTGCTCATGGACTTAAGCATTATACTATATTTCCTCTTATGTATATGCCATCATTAATTTCCTCTCCTCATGGACTTAGCTTTGGGGTGCTCCTGTTGCAGCCAATCCTGGGTGTCACCCCATTTTTTCTAAAAGCATGGTTCTGTGATGCTTGTCTTATGTGTGTCTGTGTGTATGTCCAAGTGCTATGCTGCTACCCCAACGGACCTGGCTGGCATTAATTCCTTGGGTCCTGTGCTCTCTTTGCAGGTGAGCCTTCCAGATGGTCACCCTCACACTGCGATTGCTGCTGCAAGAATGGCAAAGGTGACAAAGAAGGGGAGAGTGGCACGTCTTGCAATGACCTCTCCACATCTAGCTGCGACAGCCAATCTGAGGCCAGCTCTCCCCAGGAGACGGTCATCTGTGGTCCTGTGACACGCCAGACCAACATCCAGACTCTGGACCGTCCCATCAAGAAGGGCCCTGTCCAGCTGATCCAACAGTCAGAGATGCGACGGAAAAGCGACTTACTCCGGACTCTGACTTCAGGCTCCAGGGAATCGAACATGAGCAGCAAAAAAAAAGCTGTTAAAGAAAAGCTCTCAATCGAGGAGGAGCTGGAGAAATGTATCCAGGATTTCCTGAAAATCAAAATTCCAGATCGGTTTCCCGAGAGAAAACATCCTTGGCAATCTGAACTTTTACGGAAGTATCATCTATAAGGGAGGGGTGGGGGTGGGAAAAAAAAAAGTCATCATTTTGAAACTAACCTCCTAAAAGGAATTAATATTTTAAAGGAAAAAATACAACTAATGATGCACATTTCTTAGAACACAATAGTCCATTGATATACTACTGCCTACTTTACCTAGTTCACCTTAACATGTAAATCCACAGGGTAGATTTCTTTTTAGATGTGGAAGTACCAGAAAATCTTTTTTAGTTATTTGTTTGTTTACTTGGTCCCATGTGCTAAGTATCTTATATGTAATGAGAGCCAGCTACATGAAAGTAGCTGAGAGGCCTTGGGAGTCATTTATCCCAAACTGGTTTTTTCCCTCTCATCTTCTACCTCCCTTCTTTGAATGAGGGTGTGGTAGAAAAAGATCTGGCCCAATGGCATACGTTTGGAATTTTTTAATTTTGCTTTTTCCTTTTGTTTATGGGGTAAGGGGGGAATGGCAGATTTATATGACTTTTCACCTAAATCTATATGTGCCAGTTTATATTGACTCCATATGCATGAGTATTTGTGCAACACAAGCACAATTAAGGATGTATATACACACGGTGCACACGATGCCAGGGCCGAGACATCCCAAGGACTGTGCTCCTGCTCCCAGCAGCCCTCTCTTAGAACATTTCAGATGGATGAGACTCTGACTCTTTCTTAAAACTCTTGTGGGAAGATTTCCCAGCCTCTCTTGGCAACACTTTCTAACATCGAATAACCTTCATCATCAACAAATTGTCTTCTTTATTTTGAAATTAACACCCTCAGGCTCCATTTTACTGCTTTCTTTGCCCTTTCTCTGTGTTAAGAGAGGATGAGGAGAGCTGGTCAAACATTCTTTGTATTAAAAAATCAAACATTCATATTCAGAAAATTTACTGCTAAATGACCCTACACTCAACCTTCTCTACCCTGAACTGAATTGTCTTTCTCTCAAAGTTTTCAGAGTTCTCACTGCCCACAGTTTAATGGTGTGGTCTTTCTACATAATCCACATTAAGTTCTGTAGTTCCTGTGTCACTGTGGAACTAAGAACATCACACAGTACTTGAATAAGGTTCTGGCCTTTTCTTTAAGTTGTATTCCACACACCTCCTAATAATTTCTTATAAAAATTTTAAACTGCGAAGCTACATTGTTACTTGCTTGTAGCCAGTTTTGTTTGCCTTTGGGATTTGGGGTTTAGCTGTACCCATGCTAGGATTTAGCTGTGTCATTTTTATGGTACCTGTAACAACCCAACTAGGTAACTGGAGCCCTAAAATTAAGGTTTCAGATTTCTAAATGAAGCTATCCTTTTTAATTACATCTTGACCTGTATAGACACAGCCAAAAAGAAACTGTTAATAGCCATCCATCCATGTAATTCTGTGTTTATAAGGTACCAATAGCTCTTTCATAGACTTGTGCTACATGAAGGTTAAAAGATCAGTTTTTATTTTCAGCATTTCTCACGCATTTTAGTAGTAACTGAAAAAATAATTTGTCAATTATTAATTGTGTGCCAAGCACTCCTCATTTGTTTTATTGCGCGTGTGTGCATGTGTGTATGTGTATCACAGGTAATAAAGGCAATTGGATGATGTCTATAGGAGGAAAACAATGACTAATTTCTTCCTTTTGAAATCTTTCATTGATGCACATTTATTATGTAAGAGGTTCTGTCTTGATTTCTGTTCTTAGTGATGATTAGTATATAAATATCTTTCAGAATTTTTGTAATTCTTGCCTTCACACTTGGATGACAGACTCAGCCAATGTTTTCTTGTCCTGATAGTTTGAATAGAGTTTAAAGTTTAACATAAGTGAAAAAGAAAGTTTATCTTGAGAGTTGAGTTGTTAAGAGAATTATAATTTATGGATTTAAGTGATGTTCTTTTCTGTATTAATATATTAGCAGATATTTGATCTTAACTACAACATAGCTTTGTTTGTAAAGCCTACCAGTATGTCTTCATTCTTTTCAATGTTTCTGATAGCACGTGAAAATACCGTCATCCTAATGACAGAAGATCTTGCAAAGAATCACAGAGCTTAATGAATGAAGAAGTTGAATTTTGGGAAAATATCCTGAAACTCACTTTAGTCAAATGATTATTGTGTTGTCACTGGAAGTGCTGTCAAAAACTTTGGGGTCTAACTAAAATAACCAAAGTCCCAACTTCCTTAAATTTTACATCTGACTGTAATGGCCTCAAGACAGAGAGATAGCCTCATAAGAGTTAGAGAATTAAAATGACAGTCAACCCTATATTTCTACTACATTCTTTAAACAGGAAATTAAACACTGCGAAAGAAGTGTTCATGGCAGTGTTCCTCTGACTCGTGACCTGTCATGAGTTTGCTCTGCTCTGGCATTCCTTATATACCCAGTGAACAAAGCTAGGATAGAAAACCTGTTTAAAACTACCACAACAGCATCATTTTATTTTGGACCAACTCTAGGCTGGTACCCATCCTTTGGTAAAAAATTCAAGTAACACAGCAGCATGGCGTTTATTTGTGTGGGTGTTTATATAGAAATGAACATAGACCTGGTCAGTAAAGGGCTCTGAGGAGGAAACCTTCAGTCTAGCTTGAGTGGAGTTATCAAGTGAGGTCCGGGTAGCCTGCAACGTTGGAAATGAGTTCTGGGTAAGTGAGTTATAAGATTACATGCTCTACTACCCCTGGTAGTCACTGTGACTCAGGCATGTTTCGCTGAAGTTAAAGTAGTTTTTCGAACTTTTAATTTCATTCTGAATAAAACAATATATATGGTTTGCTTTTTGAACATTGATTATGACAAGAGCCATAAATTGCTAATATGAGGAAGTCAGTAGTATCAAATGGATAAAATGAATGGGGAATCACATGTGTAGAGCCCCAACTTAGATTGCTTTCTGGAAAATCCCATGATGCTAACATCCAGTGAGCTTGGGGAGATCGTTTCCTGAAGGCATGTGGGTCTTCTGAAGTCAGAAACATATTTACAAAGTCCTTCTACCCACTATCGAAAAGGAAGTGATCTGCATTCAGCAGGAAAAGGGGAAGACAGCAATATAAAACTTTTCAATCATATGGTAGTGTGTTTTCCTTTCCCCCGCTAGGAAAAATTGCACTGAGATACTGTCAAAAAAATAATGCACTGATGTTATCCTTAGTATTTATAGGCACAGTTATCTTACTGAAAATGCATGCATGGTGAATTAAAATAAAAGGGGGAACAATGTGTTCCCTTTGCTCTTTATTCCTTCATAGTTGTATCTATTTCAACCAATTCATTTTGGGGGAACGCATTTATTAAAGGCTGCTGACACGGAAATTTTCACTTTTCACTTAGCCTTGTTTGATTCAGAGGAACCTTTATCCATTGGCACAGGTGTGTTGTGTGTTCTAGGTCCTATTACTACCTTTTACTGCTTCTGGATTACTTTTGCTTCCCTGGGCTTTAGATTCTTCTCTCAGTATGCTTTGTTGGTGCCAAGGAAAACATGCTCCAATGAGACAAAGGGAAGGCATGCATGGTGTTTTGCAAAATTGCTTGATACCAGCTCCCACAGTGGGAACCAAATTTTGATTCTTACACATTTTCCTTTGCTACTACTCCAGCCTTCCAATATTGTATCTACTATAGTGTGGATCTGTGAATTTGAGTGCTGGTATTTTCTGACACTATATACCATGCCGTGGAATTTGACTAGCCTTGGTCTTCTAGATGATCTTTACTGGAATTAATAAGACTCTTTTTGTGAACTTTTGGGGAGAATTCTTTGTCACCTTCACTTGACATAACAATTTTTAAAAGAAAATCGAAGAGAGTTTATTTTTCCTTTTGGTGACTCTGTGGTAGATGAGTATTTTTGCCAATTTGCATGCTGGGTTATAGGTTTAGCATGGGCCATTTCTCTCTTTAATGTCTTGGTATTGTTGGTGTCTTGCAATCTTGATGCCCCACAGTTTCAATGTATTTATTTTCTTTTATATTGTCAAAATAACACACTAGAGAAAGAACCAGAGTGAGCATTCTGTATCCTAAATTACAATGGAGTTAGGTGTCATGTGTATAGAACTGTATAATGATTAATATCTGCAGAGAAATTAGACCAAATGAAGCCTGCTAGAATAGGTTTGATTTATATTGCCTTCATCATTCTGGTTTCAGACGAAATGGTTATTGCTCTCCACCCCTGCTGAAAGAGTAGAGTCTTAAACTTTAATAATCACAGCCTTGTGATGCAAACACAGAGCTTATTTATTTGAAATGTCTGTTATTGCTGTGTACATAGAAATGGAGATTCTTTTTCCAGTGATCTCCATTGCAGACTTTTTAGCAGTGTTTCTTAATACTCAGGATGCACAAAAATCATGCACAGCACTTGTAAAAATGCAGATTCCTTCAACCTAACTTCAAAGAGTCTGATTCAGAAACTTGAAGCAGGGCCAAGAAATTTGCATTTTGACCTAGTCTCCTTAATAATTTTGATGAGGATTGTCTATAGACCTTTCTTTGAAAATTCTGCTGTTTAGGGAGTATGGAGAGGTCAACAGTTCCTTTACTTCTTAGACGCACTTCCTCATTTTCTCTTACTTTCTTCCCACTACAAACAAGTCAAAGCATGAATTATTTATTATCTTAAGAGAAAACACCAAAAGAAAAGCAACCTAAGACTAGGGCAGAATAGATTTTCATTAATTCTTTGCCATTTCATCTGCTGTCTCTCAACCGTAACCCTTTCTCCATATAGTGTGTGTATGTGTATGTGTATGTGTGTGTATGTGTATGTGATTTTTTCACCAAAAAAATAAAAACCTGGATCATTATATTCTTAGCCCTGGGTAGATGGGAGCATGTCTCTGAGTGAGATACATTCTAATGATACCCAACAAGACATAAAAATAATGATCTTTCCCAAGGAGAGCTGTTTATTTCTAGGTCCTTACTTAGTATGAGTTGTAGAAAATTGTAAGTGATTCATAATTTAATGATGTATATGGCCCGAAAGGTGATTCTTTTAACTGCACATAAAATACAACCAGAATGAATGTGGAACAATTAGTGAATTCAGCTATATTTTACCAATAAAATCCTGAACACTGAACTGTTAAATGTGTCCAATTTGACTCAGTCAGGGCTATGAAGCTCTCAGATATTTGAAGATCCTGAACCCTGACATCAACTAAAAACTTGAAGTCAAACTCATGTATGAGAATAAATGCAAAAATGCAAAAAAAAAAAAAAAAAAGAAAGAAAGAAAGAAAAAAGAGTGAATTCAAAAGTGTTTCAATAATCCAATTGGTCCTGTCCATTTAACGGAATAACTGGATACATACCAAATCCCCCCATTATAAGAAATAGAAAAATAGAAATCACACTTGTCATGATCATGAGTGAATATTTAAGTAAAGATTATTGCCAAAGGAAAGTGAGGGATGCTTAATGAAACTGATGAACATGAGCAACTAATTACGATAAATTGACCAAGATTAAAACAAAATTGGTTAAATTTGATTCAGTTTCTTGCCCTCTCTCCTCTACTTCCTAAGTGGGATCCCTTTTCTGCCCTGGCTTCCTAATATTCAAAAGTGTTTCTCTTGCTTGTAAGCAAATTTTTGTTGTCAATTGGGTAAAGAATGTTAAGTTCCTAGACTGTCATCCTTGCGTTATTTAGGAACTTTACTTTTAAAAGGATAAAGAAAAATGTGCCTGGCCTAGCAACCATCAAGGGCTTGTCCTGGAGGAGGACGGGGGTAATCTTCCTGTTAATCAGCTTTGTAAAAGCAGTTATGTGCCACCCAGAGGGTTTGTTAAAACTCTTGTCTCCAGCAACCTCTTCCATCTTATCAGTTTATTTTTAGAATTGACCTTTAGCTAATTTACCTCCATTAGCACAATGAAAATCAACATAACTTCATATTCTCTCCATGCTGACGTGGTCTCCATCCATCACAAATGGAAGCAGAACGGCATAATAAAGTAGTGAAGAGTTGCTTTCAAATTACATCAGTGTGCATGTGTGAGTGTGCACACGACCATGTGCAATTTTTAGGTTTATGTCAGTTCAGCAGCAAATGTGCATGGGAGTGCTATCTGAGTGCATGGAAAAAGCCTTTGGTCACATAGTTCAACAGCTTTTTAGTTCAGCACGAAAGTTTATCTTTACTGTGGATGTCAGCCTTTAAGAATGTTAAGTAAAGCTGGTCTCCTCAAGTGAAATTCAAACAATACTAATTTCTGGGGAAAAATCAAACTCACATCCATGCATATAGTGAAGAGTGGTATCTTATTCAGAAAAGAATGAAAAAAATAGAATGTATTTTTGAAAGCTAAAATAGACATCAAATACACATTAATCATCAGTAGCTTTTAAAAATTGCAGTCAGTGTTCAGTGGCTTAGCTATACCTTCAGGTGAGAGACAGAGAGAAACAATTTCAGGGAACTCTTTGATTCATGTGGGTTAATTGCATTTAAGGCAGTGGTTCTCAACAAGGAGTGCCTTTGCACCCCAGAGGTCTTTTGGCAATGCCTGGAGATATTTTTTGTTTCATGATTTGAGGGGTGCTACTGACATTTAATGGATATAGGCCGGAGATGCTGCTAAAGATCCTACAGTGCACTGGAAACCATTGCATAACAAAAAGTTATCCAGCCCACAAAGTCAATAGTGCTTAGCTTGAGAAACTCCACATTAAGCATGGGTTTAAATTTTTCCAAGGCTTTTTTTTTTTTTTTTTCTGTACCATATATGGAAAGTCTTCCAGGTCAAGAAATAAGATAAAATAGAACAATAAAAATCAGAACCAGTTTAAATGTGTATAGAAATTATTTGAAATTAGACATAATTATCTCTTTATACAGACGTGAAAGCTGACATTTAGAGAATTAGGAAACTTCTTCCAGGGATCTGGTAGTGATGAGGAAGGCCTGTAGTTTAGATGTCTGTCTTCTTTTACTTCAATCTTTCTGACTCAGAAAAATTATACCTTAGTAATGTTGTCAATCTTTTAACAGCTAAATATGTTTGTTGTGAAGCACTCTGGGAGCATTTTCAGTTCACGTGATGCTGTTAAAGATGTTTCCCAAGCTGATCAACGGTAGAATACAAGGTGCTCTCACAAATGAAACCAGTACGGGGGAGAAAGTGTTTAGAGCAGGCCAATGATGTCATTGTCTATAACTGCTTATCATGCACTTTGTTACTTTGAGTTGAATATTCCCTCACTGAGGATGATAAAATCTTATTGGAAAATATGTTTCCTAGACTCACACACGGGGGCGGCTCCCATGTCCTTGTTTCCAAAGATGTGAAAAGTCTAAATACAAGCCCTGGCTACTGAGACTTATTGCTTAGTTTATATGTACTGATTTTATTAGAACACAAAGCACATTTGTGTCTGAAATGATTTGACATTTTTCTTTGAATTTATCATACCGATATCCCAGGGATGGAATAAAGATAGAGTCATTCTAATCTCATTTTATACAAGGTAAACTAAGAACCCGGAAAGTTTAAATCAGTCATTTATTTGTTTATGCATATATCCAGCAAATATTTGTTGGGTACATACCATGTATAGGTCACTGTCATGAGCATTATAATGTCTAGGCAATCAAATTTCGGATAAAGAACTTGAATTAAGATCACTCAAATCCTAGACTAACATTATTTTTGTATGTAGTTCTGATCATTATTCTAGAATTATGGTTTAAATATTGAGTTATAAATAATATATATTACAGATTTATTACTATGTGCCAGAAACTCTACTAAGTGCTTTACGTGCCATATCTCATTTAATCCCATCATAATCCAATGAAGTAAGCCCTACCACTATCCTCTCTTTACAGATAAGGTCAATGAGGCTCAGAAAGATAAAGTAGCACATAAAGGCTCATAGCTAAAATGTGGCAGAGCCAGATTTTCCTCTGAGTTTATTGGACTCTAAAGGCTGCTGGCTTAACCATCTCATTGTACAATCTGTAATCTCTGTTTCTCTGAACTTTGCCTGTTTTTCCTCTGTCCTGTTCTAAACGAGGTAGCATCCCAGCCTGACATCCTTCCTAAAAATCATCTTTTTTTTTTTAAATTGCAAATGCCATTAGACATGCATCTGCCTAGAAGGTAAAGAAATGGCAGATTTTCTATAGGCTGAACTTTATGCCACAAAAATTTTCAAGGGGGCAGTCATGTTGTAGAGCAGGTATCTGGTGAGTACTAACATGCTAAGAAACTCACAGTGACAAGCTAGCTTCCATATCAGGAGAATGACATCTCCAATTGCTTTTTGTGCTGCATACAGATCACTAGGGCAAGCTTCAGAGGAAGTAAAATAGGTGTATGAACATGTTTATGTATGTTTATACATGAGTGTATCTGTGTATCTCCTATTTTCATCTTTTGATTTGCTAAACATTCTCATTTTTTTTGTTCAAGACAGGTCAGATATCCAAATGTGATTAACGGCTCTCAGCATCTCATCATTACTAAGTTGGGAAAAGAGAGGCAGCTTTAGAAAAGAAACTTCACTGAAATGTGTGTGTGCGTGTGTGTGCGTGTGAGAGAGAGAGAGGATCAAGTGTATTTATGTGTGTTGCATGTGTTTATGTGTAAAATTATGTGTATATATGTATATATGTGTGTACATCTATCTAAATGTGTATATATATATCTATAGCTATACATATGTATACACCGATAAACAAAGCTCATAGTTTAAACTTTGGAATTTTGAGTTTGAAGAAATTACTGTTATTACAATTTATATTTGGTTTCCTAGATAGTCTAATATAGTTCTGATTTCCAAAATTCTCTTCCACTGAAAGTGGATATATTTATTTACGGTACAGAGAGTATTAACAAAACATTTAGATTTAATATCTATGAATAATAAACCAAACAAAAGTGCATTTAAGGAAACACACCAAATTTGTAAAAAACTGGCTTCCTTATCCAAACCATTTGTTGGCATTTCAAACTACATGTGTTCGAACTTTTCCATTACAAAAACAAAAACAAAAACAATAAACTGAAAACACTGCCAAATAAGCAGTGATAATGTTTAAGAAGAAAAAGAAAAATGTAGGTGTATGATAGCACAAATTCAATGGTTATTGCCATAGTAGTACTTCACTTACCTAAAGGTTAATTTACTATATCCTCGTTAATTTCACTTTATCACTTCTGGGGGTTTCTGTGTCCCTACATGATTTGTCGATGGAGCTAATTATCTGCTTAATTATTTAAAGTTATAGTAAATAATTTATAATGTGCATATTGTAAATAGATACTAAAGGTCAAGGGCACATTGTAATAATCACAAAACACTTTTTAGTCTCCTGCGAATAATCCTTGAAGCCTGTGTATACAATACCCAAATAGTTGCTCAAAGAAAGAACAATGTGAGTCAAATACAAGAAAACCTTACTTACCTATTTTGGCATTCTACAGACATAACAACCAAATGACTAAATTTGGGGCATCTTAAGGATACAGGAAGTTATGTACTCATTCATAGCCATGTGCTTTCCATATTATTAGGGGATGTGAAAAACATTTAAAGTCAACCTATGCAAACAGAGATTCCGTGCTGCTCCTTGCGATCAGTTTGTATGCACACAAGCCCATACCTTCAGCTGATAGTCCAAGCACCGATTCCTCCTTCCCGAGATCTGTCAGGTGTGCCCACACAACAGAAGCACTTGTAAACTAATCAAGCACAGTAATTGAATTCCTTTTTCACCAGCCTTCTGCAAATGTGGTCTTAAGAAACTTAAGAAATAAGATCTACTTTTTTTTNTGGTTATTGCTCTCCACCCCTGCTGAAAGAGTAGAGTCTTAAACTTTAATAATCACAGCCTTGTGATGCAAACACAGAGCTTATTTATTTGAAATTTCTGATCTTGCTGTGTACATAGAAATGGAGATTCTTTTTCCAGTGATCTCCATTGCAGACTTTTTAGCAGTGTTTCTTAATACTCAGGATGCACAAAAATCATGCACAGCACTTGTAAAAATGCAGATTCCTTCAACCTAACTTCAAAGAGTCTGATTCAGAAACTTGAAGCAGGGCCAAGAAATTTGCATTTTGACCTAGTCTCCTTAATAATTTTGATGAGGATTGTCTATAGACCTTTCTTTGAAAATTCTGCTGTTTAGGGAGTATGGAGAGGTCAACAGTTCCTTTACTTCTTAGACGCACTTCCTCATTTTCTCTTACTTTCTTCCCACTACAAACAAGTCAAAGCATGAATTATTTATTATCTTAAGAGAAAACACCAAAAGAAAAGCAACCTAAGACTAGGGCAGAATAGATTTTCATTAATTCTTTGCCATTTCATCTGCTGTCTCTCAACCGTAACCCTTTCTCCATATAGTGTGTGTATGTGTATGTGTATGTGTGTGTATGTGTATGTGATTTTTTCACCAAAAAAATAAAAACCTGGATCATTATATTCTTAGCCCTGGGTAGATGGGAGCATGTCTCTGAGTGAGATACATTCTAATGATACCCAACAAGACATAAAAATAATGATCTTTCCCAAGGAGAGCTGTTTATTTCTAGGTCCTTACTTAGTATGAGTTGTAGAAAATTGTAAGTGATTCATAATTTAATGATGTATATGGCCCGAAAGGTGATTCTTTTAACTGCACATAAAATACAACCAGAATGAATGTGGAACAATTAGTGAATTCAGCTATATTTTACCAATAAAATCCTGAACACTGAACTGTTAAATGTGTCCAATTTGACTCAGTCAGGGCTATGAAGCTCTCAGATATTTGAAGATCCTGAACCCTGACATCAACTAAAAACTTGAAGTCAAACTCATGTATGAGAATAAATGCAAAAATGCAAAAAAAAAAAAAAAAAAGAAAGAAAGAAAGAAAAAAGAGTGAATTCAAAAGTGTTTCAATAATCCAATTGGTCCTGTCCATTTAACGGAATAACTGGATACATACCAAATCCCCCCATTATAAGAAATAGAAAAATAGAAATCACACTTGTCATGATCATGAGTGAATATTTAAGTAAAGATTATTGCCAAAGGAAAGTGAGGGATGCTTAATGAAACTGATGAACATGAGCAACTAATTACGATAAATTGACCAAGATTAAAACAAAATTGGTTAAATTTGATTCAGTTTCTTGCCCTCTCTCCTCTACTTCCTAAGTGGGATCCCTTTTCTGCCCTGGCTTCCTAATATTCAAAAGTGTTTCTCTTGCTTGTAAGCAAATTTTTGTTGTCAATTGGGTAAAGAATGTTAAGTTCCTAGACTGTCATCCTTGCGTTATTTAGGAACTTTACTTTTAAAAGGATAAAGAAAAATGTGCCTGGCCTAGCAACCATCAAGGGCTTGTCCTGGAGGAGGACGGGGGTAATCTTCCTGTTAATCAGCTTTGTAAAAGCAGTTATGTGCCACCCAGAGGGTTTGTTAAAACTCTTGTCTCCAGCAACCTCTTCCATCTTATCAGTTTATTTTTAGAATTGACCTTTAGCTAATTTACCTCCATTAGCACAATGAAAATCAACATAACTTCATATTCTCTCCATGCTGACGTGGTCTCCATCCATCACAAATGGAAGCAGAACGGCATAATAAAGTAGTGAAGAGTTGCTTTCAAATTACATCAGTGTGCATGTGTGAGTGTGCACACGACCATGTGCAATTTTTAGGTTTATGTCAGTTCAGCAGCAAATGTGCATGGGAGTGCTATCTGAGTGCATGGAAAAAGCCTTTGGTCACATAGTTCAACAGCTTTTTAGTTCAGCACGAAAGTTTATCTTTACTGTGGATGTCAGCCTTTAAGAATGTTAAGTAAAGCTGGTCTCCTCAAGTGAAATTCAAACAATACTAATTTCTGGGGAAAAATCAAACTCACATCCATGCATATAGTGAAGAGTGGTATCTTATTCAGAAAAGAATGAAAAAAATAGAATGTATTTTTGAAAGCTAAAATAGACATCAAATACACATTAATCATCAGTAGCTTTTAAAAATTGCAGTCAGTGTTCAGTGGCTTAGCTATACCTTCAGGTGAGAGACAGAGAGAAACAATTTCAGGGAACTCTTTGATTCATGTGGGTTAATTGCATTTAAGGCAGTGGTTCTCAACAAGGAGTGCCTTTGCACCCCAGAGGTCTTTTGGCAATGCCTGGAGATATTTTTTGTTTCATGATTTGAGGGGTGCTACTGACATTTAATGGATATAGGCCGGAGATGCTGCTAAAGATCCTACAGTGCACTGGAAACCATTGCATAACAAAAAGTTATCCAGCCCACAAAGTCAATAGTGCTTAGCTTGAGAAACTCCACATTAAGCATGGGTTTAAATTTTTCCAAGGCTTTTTTTTTTTTTTTTTCTGTACCATATATGGAAAGTCTTCCAGGTCAAGAAATAAGATAAAATAGAACAATAAAAATCAGAACCAGTTTAAATGTGTATAGAAATTATTTGAAATTAGACATAATTATCTCTTTATACAGACGTGAAAGCTGACATTTAGAGAATTAGGAAACTTCTTCCAGGGATCTGGTAGTGATGAGGAAGGCCTGTAGTTTAGATGTCTGTCTTCTTTTACTTCAATCTTTCTGACTCAGAAAAATTATACCTTAGTAATGTTGTCAATCTTTTAACAGCTAAATATGTTTGTTGTGAAGCACTCTGGGAGCATTTTCAGTTCACGTGATGCTGTTAAAGATGTTTCCCAAGCTGATCAACGGTAGAATACAAGGTGCTCTCACAAATGAAACCAGTACGGGGGAGAAAGTGTTTAGAGCAGGCCAATGATGTCATTGTCTATAACTGCTTATCATGCACTTTGTTACTTTGAGTTGAATATTCCCTCACTGAGGATGATAAAATCTTATTGGAAAATATGTTTCCTAGACTCACACACGGGGGCGGCTCCCATGTCCTTGTTTCCAAAGATGTGAAAAGTCTAAATACAAGCCCTGGCTACTGAGACTTATTGCTTAGTTTATATGTACTGATTTTATTAGAACACAAAGCACATTTGTGTCTGAAATGATTTGACATTTTTCTTTGAATTTATCATACCGATATCCCAGGGATGGAATAAAGATAGAGTCATTCTAATCTCATTTTATACAAGGTAAACTAAGAACCCGGAAAGTTTAAATCAGTCATTTATTTGTTTATGCATATATCCAGCAAATATTTGTTGGGTACATACCATGTATAGGTCACTGTCATGAGCATTATAATGTCTAGGCAATCAAATTTCGGATAAAGAACTTGAATTAAGATCACTCAAATCCTAGACTAACATTATTTTTGTATGTAGTTCTGATCATTATTCTAGAATTATGGTTTAAATATTGAGTTATAAATAATATATATTACAGATTTATTACTATGTGCCAGAAACTCTACTAAGTGCTTTACGTGCCATATCTCATTTAATCCCATCATAATCCAATGAAGTAAGCCCTACCACTATCCTCTCTTTACAGATAAGGTCAATGAGGCTCAGAAAGATAAAGTAGCACATAAAGGCTCATAGCTAAAATGTGGCAGAGCCAGATTTTCCTCTGAGTTTATTGGACTCTAAAGGCTGCTGGCTTAACCATCTCATTGTACAATCTGTAATCTCTGTTTCTCTGAACTTTGCCTGTTTTTCCTCTGTCCTGTTCTAAACGAGGTAGCATCCCAGCCTGACATCCTTCCTAAAAATCATCTTTTTTTTTTTAAATTGCAAATGCCATTAGACATGCATCTGCCTAGAAGGTAAAGAAATGGCAGATTTTCTATAGGCTGAACTTTATGCCACAAAAATTTTCAAGGGGGCAGTCATGTTGTAGAGCAGGTATCTGGTGAGTACTAACATGCTAAGAAACTCACAGTGACAAGCTAGCTTCCATATCAGGAGAATGACATCTCCAATTGCTTTTTGTGCTGCATACAGATCACTAGGGCAAGCTTCAGAGGAAGTAAAATAGGTGTATGAACATGTTTATGTATGTTTATACATGAGTGTATCTGTGTATCTCCTATTTTCATCTTTTGATTTGCTAAACATTCTCATTTTTTTTGTTCAAGACAGGTCAGATATCCAAATGTGATTAACGGCTCTCAGCATCTCATCATTACTAAGTTGGGAAAAGAGAGGCAGCTTTAGAAAAGAAACTTCACTGAAATGTGTGTGTGCGTGTGTGTGCGTGTGAGAGAGAGAGAGGATCAAGTGTATTTATGTGTGTTGCATGTGTTTATGTGTAAAATTATGTGTATATATGTATATATGTGTGTACATCTATCTAAATGTGTATATATATATCTATAGCTATACATATGTATACACCGATAAACAAAGCTCATAGTTTAAACTTTGGAATTTTGAGTTTGAAGAAATTACTGTTATTACAATTTATATTTGGTTTCCTAGATAGTCTAATATAGTTCTGATTTCCAAAATTCTCTTCCACTGAAAGTGGATATATTTATTTACGGTACAGAGAGTATTAACAAAACATTTAGATTTAATATCTATGAATAATAAACCAAACAAAAGTGCATTTAAGGAAACACACCAAATTTGTAAAAAACTGGCTTCCTTATCCAAACCATTTGTTGGCATTTCAAACTACATGTGTTCGAACTTTTCCATTACAAAAACAAAAACAAAAACAATAAACTGAAAACACTGCCAAATAAGCAGTGATAATGTTTAAGAAGAAAAAGAAAAATGTAGGTGTATGATAGCACAAATTCAATGGTTATTGCCATAGTAGTACTTCACTTACCTAAAGGTTAATTTACTATATCCTCGTTAATTTCACTTTATCACTTCTGGGGGTTTCTGTGTCCCTACATGATTTGTCGATGGAGCTAATTATCTGCTTAATTATTTAAAGTTATAGTAAATAATTTATAATGTGCATATTGTAAATAGATACTAAAGGTCAAGGGCACATTGTAATAATCACAAAACACTTTTTAGTCTCCTGCGAATAATCCTTGAAGCCTGTGTATACAATACCCAAATAGTTGCTCAAAGAAAGAACAATGTGAGTCAAATACAAGAAAACCTTACTTACCTATTTTGGCATTCTACAGACATAACAACCAAATGACTAAATTTGGGGCATCTTAAGGATACAGGAAGTTATGTACTCATTCATAGCCATGTGCTTTCCATATTATTAGGGGATGTGAAAAACATTTAAAGTCAACCTATGCAAACAGAGATTCCGTGCTGCTCCTTGCGATCAGTTTGTATGCACACAAGCCCATACCTTCAGCTGATAGTCCAAGCACCGATTCCTCCTTCCCGAGATCTGTCAGGTGTGCCCACACAACAGAAGCACTTGTAAACTAATCAAGCACAGTAATTGAATTCCTTTTTCACCAGCCTTCTGCAAATGTGGTCTTAAGAAACTTAAGAAATAAGATCTACTT